ATTACATGTTAATAACTTGATTGGAATTATAACCTTGAATTGACAGTTTGATACTTTAAAAATTTTGAGCCAGCCCTACCCCCAAGGGCTGTAAGGTGGGGTTCAAAGGAGTAAGTGTGCTAAAATTTCTTCATTTTCCTTGTTAAGAATCAGAGGTGCTAGTTTCAACTCCTTTTTAGTCTGAAATCTGTATGCTAGATATTGAGTAAGGTGGTTTTATTGTTTTTTGTCACTTTGAATAATATTTCTGTTCATGTTAAAAACAAAATCAACTCTCTGTATAAATATATCAGGTGACCGTTAAGGCCCATGGGCCTCTTGTTATTTATTGATTTATTTTGAATTAAGAAAACCGTTTGCAGGAATATACTGTTTCCTATATGGCCTACTCTGAATTCTATTGTACTAAGGTGACATGAAGATTTCTTGTTATCTGTGTTCCTCCGAAATCAAATTCTGTTTACGTGAATATTTGTGCATGATAAATACAAACCATTGGCTTATTAGTTGTTCTTTTTTGTATTTTCAGAAGATTCTGGACCAGTAAACACCACAACTTCCAAATCCAGCAGGTAAGATAAAATGTCACTTCCTGTCCGATTGATATCACATCATATAACAATGATGTCACTTCCTGTTAGTTTGATATCACATCATATAACAATGATGTCACTTCCTGTCAGTTTGATATCACATCATATAACAATGATGTCACCTCCTGTCAGTATCGTACCACATCACATAACTATGGTTTCGTGTACTGGTTTCAGACTTGCTGTGTAGTTACTTTATCGTTAAGTTATATTTGCATGATAAAAATGGTTCACTTCAACTTTAATTTGACCTCAAGTTTAAAACAAGTGTAGGTGTAGGTTTCAGGAGGATTTCATAGCTACAATGTACCATTTTATGTATCATGTCAAAACCTCATGGTCAGAAAGTCATAGTGTCATGTAATGAAATGAGGTTAAAGAGGTCATTGACCACCTATTTGACATTGAACTCAAGAATTTGACACTATTTGATATATTGAATTAGATATGTAGAGGGGTATCTGTGAAGCCTGTGCTTTGAGTTGAATCTAGTTTTTTTTTTACATCATTGATATAATGTTAAAAATAAATGATTAAGAATGGGTAGACACTGTCTGACTAGAGTGATAGCGTAAAAACTTAACCAGGTAACAAAATTTGATAGTCTCCTAGTTTTAATAATGAGTATCTGTGAAGGTCCCTCACTGACTGGTGTTTTTGTTACATATGATAAACCATTGACGGTAAGACTGAGCTACCTATACACACATACCACAGACACATTAGTATGATGTGGGTGGTTAGTTAGGGACGCCTGTTACATGTGTTTCTCATCAACTTTATGGTACTACCACCTATTGATGGAGGTGAATTGTTTATTGACATCAAGATTAGGAGTACAGCAAATTTTTGATCAGACCTAGTTATCTCCCCTAGCTCACCACAAGGTCATAGCGATGTTTAGCTTAACATGGTGCAGAATACGTGTGACGTTAACTAGCTGTATGGTTTGTTAGTGACACAATATAAGTAAAAGGAGTTTGTTCTCTGAGACACAGGCCCATATTACTTGTCTTAGTGTGATATTGTCTGAGTCAATGAAATAGCAGTGATGAGAATTGGTATGTACAAACGGTTATCCTTCTGAACTTTTAAAACTCACTGATATTCGTCACCAAGTTGTTTACCTTGAACATCAATGTTTGAATGGATCTTAATAAAAGTAATCAAGGTCAAATGATGATAGATGTGAATACATCAAACAACAGCATACAATAGCATTGTAATAGGATTACCAATGTAACTGTCACAGAACCATGTACCGGAATACAGTTATATATCTGTCACACAGTTCACCAATTCCCTTAATAGCATTGTAATAGGATTACCAATGTAACTGTCCCAAGTTGTTTACCTTGAACATCAATGTTTGAATGGATCTTAATAAAAGTAATCAAGGTCAAATGATGATAGATGTGAATACATCAAACAACAGCATACAATAGCATAGTAATAGGATTACCAATGTAACTGTCACAGAAGCATGTACCGGTATACAGTTATATATCTGTTACACAGTTCACCAATTACCTTAATAGCATTGGAATAGGATTACCAATGTAACTGTCACAGAACTGTGTACTAGTATACAGTTATATATCTGTCACACAGGTCACCAATTACCTTAATAGCATTGTAATGGGATTACCAATGTAACTGTCACAGAACCTTGTACTGGTATACAGTTATATATCTGTCACACAGTTCTCCAATTACCTTAATAGCATTGTAATAGGATACCAATGTAACTGTCACAGAACTGTGTACCGGTATACAGTTATATATCTGTCACACAGTTCACCAATTCCCTTAATAGCATTGTAATAGGATTACCAATGTAACTGTCCCAAGTTGTTTACCTTGAACATCAATGTTTGAATGGATCTTAATAAAAGTAATCAAGGTCAAATGATGATAGATGTGAATACATCAAACAACAGCATACAATAGCATTGTAATAGGATTACCAATGTAACTGTCCCAAGTTGTTTACCTTGAACATCAATGTTTGAATGGATCTTAATAAAAGTAATCAAGGTCAAATGATGATAGATGTGAATACATCAAACAACAGCATACAATAGCATTGTAATAGGATTACCAATGTAACTGTCCCAAGTTGTTTACCTTGAACATCAATGTTTGAATGGATCTTAATAAAAGTAATCAAGGTCAAATGATGATAGATGTGAATACATCAAACAACAGCATACAATAGCATAGTAATAGGATTACCAATGTAACTGTCACAGAACTGTGTACCGGTATACAGTTATATATCTGTCACACAGTTCTCCAATTACCTTAATAGCATTGTAATAGGATTCCCAATGTAACTGTCACAGAACCATGTACCGGTATAGAGTTATATATCTGTCACACAGTTCACCAATTCCCTTAATAGCATTGTAATAGGATTACCAATGTAACTGTCCCAAGTTGTTTACCTTGAACATCAATGTTTGAATGGATCTTAATAAAAGTAATCAAGGTCAAATGATGATAGATGTGAATACAACAAACAACAGCATACAATAGCATTGTAATAGGATTACCAATGTAACTGTCCCAAGTTGTTTACCTTGAACATCAATGTTTGAATGGATCTTAATAAAAGTAATCAAGGTCAAATGATGATAGATGTGAATACATCAAACAACAGCATACAATAGCATAGTAATAGGATTACCAATGTAACTGTCACAGAACTGTGTACTAGTATACAGTTATATATCTGTCACACAGTTAACCAATTACCTTAATAGCATTGTAATAGGATTACCAATGTAACTGTCCCAAGTTGTTTACCTTGAACATCAATGTTTGAATGGATCTTAATAAAAGTAATCAAGGTCAAATGATGATAGATGTGAATACATCAAACAACAGCATACAATAGCATAGTAATAGGATTACCAATGTAACTGTCACAGAACTGTGTACTAGTATACAGTTATATATCTGTCACACAGTTCACCAATTACCTTAATAGCATTGTAATAGGATTACCAATGTAACTGTCAAAGAACTGTGTACTAGTATACAGTTATAGATCTGTCACACAGTTCACCAATTACCTTAAGAGCATTGTAATGGGATTACAAATGTAACTGTCACAGAAGCATGTACCGGTATACAGTTATATATCTGAAGGTACTTCTGTCTGATAGGATGCATTACATATATAGGATTTGCAGTAGATAGCTGCTGCTTTCTCCAATAACACTTGACATTACGTTTTCTTTGTTACAGTGAGGTGGTAGAAAATGGCATCAGCGGCGCTAACAAGGAGGAGGTAACCCAGATTTTTATATCATATATATATAGGATCTTACATGAGTTTCCATTTCATATGAGATTTATGAAACAAGTTTAAGACTTTTTCAATTCAGCGAGCCTGTGGCGAGCTAAAAATGACAAATTTGTGACGAGTTTCATAGATTTCATATGACTCTTAACGAGTGTAAGATCCTTTTTATCACATTATCAAGATTTGTGGAGTTTAGTGTAAAACAACAATTTTCATGCAATCTTGAAATGAAGAAGCCTCCATTGCGTAAGTCTGTGACGTCATGTACTTGTCCTAAGCATGGCGTCACAATTAAAACTTACAACATATCACAGGGCTGATATTACATGGGTTAATACGCAAAAAAATTGACATGGGTATATCCACTGGATAACACAGTACATTATGTGATAACACAGTACATTATGTGATAACACAGTACATTATGTGATAAAACCCAAAATTGTTGTATTGTAATTACTTTTAAGGAACAGAAAACAATAAAGTGATCAACAAGTTACTATTAAAACAAAAGGAAACTATCAACATAATACTTTCGAGTTATGATCCGCTGTAAAGCAAAGCAGAGAGATATCTGGCTGGGCAGGAATGATAGAGGATGGCAAATAGGCCAAGCTGATATCTGTGGGGGATGGAGCAGGATGAATTCAGAAGAAGGGTAGTAAAGACGGACTGATGTCAGGTCTGGAAGGGGAAGGGGTAGCATGGCCGAGACCAGAGTGATGTTAGAGCGGAATAGGGTGCAGGGCAGAATGATGTCAGGTCTGGAAGGATGAGGGGTAGCATGGCAGAGACCAGAATGATGTTAGAGTGGAATAGGGTGCAGGGCAGAATGATGTCAGGTCTGGAAGGATGAGGGGTAGCATGGCAGAGACCAGAATGATGTTTGAGTGGGGTGCAGAGTTAGCAAAGGCAAGGTGATGTCTGACCTGGGAGGGGAAGGGTAGCATAGTCGACACCAGTTTTGGGTGGGGTAGGGTGCAGGGTTAGCAAAGGCAAGGTGATGTCTGACCTGGGAGGGGAAGGGTAGCATAGTCCACACCAGTTTTGGGTGGGGTAGGGTGCAGGGTTAGCAAAGGCAAGGTAGTGTCTGACCTGGGAGGGGAAGGGTAGCCTAGTCGACACCAGTTTTGGGTGGGATAGGGTGCAGTGTCAGCAAAGGCAAGGTCATGTCTGACCTGGGAGGGGAAGGGTAGCCTAGTCGACACCAGTTTTGGGTGGGGTAGGGTGCAGGGTCAGCAAATGCAGGGTGATGTTTTGGGGATGTGGAATATGGGAGAGGGCTAACAAAGTATCTCAGTGGGAAGAAGAAGAGCTGTTTATGCATGGGTGATATCTAGATGCAACAATAAAAAGCATTTGGATGACTTCTTTGTATGACTGATTTATCTAAGATATGTTTTCAAGCCATTTTAAACAAGGGTTTAAGATTTGTAACACAATCATAAAAACATGTATTCACAAAACTCATGAGAGCTTAAGTTTACGCAGGATTCTGTGTTCTATATTTTTAGGTTCGTTTCGATGATATGGCCAACATAAAGAACAAATTTGAGGCTGGAGACAGTCAAGTGATGACCTCTGCTGGAAAAGTCAATGTCCACGAAGAGATCTTAACCGTCCAGAGTGGCGAGTTTGAAAATCAACCTGAAAAGTTTGAACAGTGGCAAAACCAGACTGAAGGTGGCGTCTATGAAAACCAGCCACAAGAAAATCCAGATGTCTTCAAGGAAGGTCACAAAAATGTGGGAGAGGAACTCCCAGAGGTTGGTATGGCTAAAAATGTCATGGAAAAATTCAAGAAAATACAAGAAGACGGATATACACCTTCAGGAAAGAAGGAGTTAACTCCAGACAGAACAGGAAAGTATGAGTATGTCAGTGAGCCACGATCAGTAATGGAGAAGCCAAAGGAAGTGGTGGAAGCAGGTGTGTTCGAGAGTCAGCCAGCGGAGTCAGAAGATGTCATCCGGTCCTCAGATCATCTGGAAGAGACAATGCCAGAGGAAGGATCGGCTAAAAATTTATTGGCTAAATTCAAAAAGTTTGAAAATGAGGTTGGCAACAGACCTCCACCGTCTCCAGGACAACGGGAGTTGACTCCAGATAGGAACACAAAAGGAGAGTATGTGAGCGAGCCAAGAACACAATTCCAACAATATGAGGGAAAGGTAGAGTCTGGAGAATTCGAAAGTCAACCACAAGAAGTTGAGGACATAATCAAATCTGGAAATTCTCTTGAAGAAGTACTTCCTGAAAAGGGCACAGCATTTAATCTGGTTTCAAAGTTCAAGCAGTACCAATCTGAATCGTCTTCCCCTCCTTCACCTCGACAGAAGAAGGAACTTACACCTGACCGGTCCGGAAAGGTGGAATATGTGAGCGAGCCTAGAGGACAGATTGAAGTTTATGAAGGTAAATCAGAAGCAGGTATTTTTGAAAGTAGTCCAGTTTACCAACCAGAAGTAGTAAAATCTGGAGACTTCCAACCTGAACCTCTGCCAGAAGAAGGATATGCCAAAAATGTTGCTGCTAAGTTTAAAGAATTGGAAAAGTCAGGTGGCTCTTCCCCTACTGGTACTCCCATCCGACACAAGGAGTTCACTCCCCCTAGAGAAGACAGTGACCGTACTGTGGCTGGAGTCCTGGAGAGCACGCCAGAGTCCCTGGACATAGCCAGAGAAACTGATTCACGATTTCAAGAAGCTGAGCTACCAGAGAGAGGTATGGCCAAGAATATGCTTAACAAATTTAAGGAAATTCAGGCAAATTCACCAACCAGTCCCCGCACCAAGAGAGAATTCACTCCACCTCCAGCGCAAGGATCGGGCGTATTCGAGAATAAACCTACCCCCTCTCTTGAAATTGAGGTCAGACAGGCAGAAAGTGGAATTCTAGAGAGTTCGCCAGTAGCGAGGGAAGATGTTGCCAGAGAACATACGTCTGCAGAAGAAGCTGTTCCTGAACAAGGACATGCCAAGAACATGGTAAATCGATGGAAGCAGATGGAATCGGAGAGTGCCAAGTCCTCACCATCTCCGAGATACAAAGAATTCACACCCCCGCGTGATAACCTGATGAGCCCAAAGTCCCCTGCAGGTATGAACAGCAGCGTGAACCCTAACGACCTTCCCGGACAGTATCAGGAGCAAGTCTCTGCAGGTATCTATGAGAACACACCCGAACAGAAGGAGGGAATCTTCAGGGAGACCGACACAGACTTTGAGGAGGGTCTTCCCGCCAAGGACACGACAAGAGCATTACTACAGAGGTTCAAGTCCATACAGAGCGAGGCCAAGGAGGCACAGGAAACACCCAAACCTATCTCCAGAAAAGTAGGTCAAAGCTCCTTCATTCACTAGATCGTGTCTTTACACGCTTATCATCAGGCTTTTGTTTTCATTCGTTTTTCACAATGTGGTTATCAGAATCGAAATTTAGGATCTTAACTTGTTTATATTTGATACCGATTTAAATGTGATGAAATTGATACAATGAAATCGGAAACCCCATTTACAAAGACATTTTGGGTAGCCCTATCACAGTTAGTATCAGGATTAACCTTTCCACCATGTTGCTNACACCAGTTTTGGGTGGGGTAGGGTGCAGGGTTAGCAAAGGCAAGGTGATGTCTGACCTGGGAGGGGAAGGGTAGCATAGTCCACACCAGTTTTGGGTGGGGTAGGGTGCAGGGTTAGCAAAGGCAAGGTAGTGTCTGACCTGGGAGGGGAAGGGTAGCCTAGTCGACACCAGTTTTGGGTGGGATAGGGTGCAGTGTCAGCAAAGGCAAGGTCATGTCTGACCTGGGAGGGGAAGGGTAGCCTAGTCGACACCAGTTTTGGGTGGGGTAGGGTGCAGGGTCAGCAAATGCAGGGTGATGTTTTGGGGATGTGGAATATGGGAGAGGGCTAACAAAGTATCTCAGTGGGAAGAAGAAGAGCTGTTTATGCATGGGTGATATCTAGATGCAACAATAAAAAGCATTTGGATGACTTCTTTGTATGACTGATTTATCTAAGATATGTTTTCAAGCCATTTTAAACAAGGGTTTAAGATTTGTAACACAATCATAAAAACATGTATTCACAAAACTCATGAGAGCTTAAGTTTACGCAGGATTCTGTGTTCTATATTTTTAGGTTCGTTTCGATGATATGGCCAACATAAAGAACAAATTTGAGGCTGGAGACAGTCAAGTGATGACCTCTGCTGGAAAAGTCAATGTCCACGAAGAGATCTTAACCGTCCAGAGTGGCGAGTTTGAAAATCAACCTGAAAAGTTTGAACAGTGGCAAAACCAGACTGAAGGTGGCGTCTATGAAAACCAGCCACAAGAAAATCCAGATGTCTTCAAGGAAGGTCACAAAAATGTGGGAGAGGAACTCCCAGAGGTTGGTATGGCTAAAAATGTCATGGAAAAATTCAAGAAAATACAAGAAGACGGATATACACCTTCAGGAAAGAAGGAGTTAACTCCAGACAGAACAGGAAAGTATGAGTATGTCAGTGAGCCACGATCAGTAATGGAGAAGCCAAAGGAAGTGGTGGAAGCAGGTGTGTTCGAGAGTCAGCCAGCGGAGTCAGAAGATGTCATCCGGTCCTCAGATCATCTGGAAGAGACAATGCCAGAGGAAGGATCGGCTAAAAATTTATTGGCTAAATTCAAAAAGTTTGAAAATGAGGTTGGCAACAGACCTCCACCGTCTCCAGGACAACGGGAGTTGACTCCAGATAGGAACACAAAAGGAGAGTATGTGAGCGAGCCAAGAACACAATTCCAACAATATGAGGGAAAGGTAGAGTCTGGAGAATTCGAAAGTCAACCACAAGAAGTTGAGGACATAATCAAATCTGGAAATTCTCTTGAAGAAGTACTTCCTGAAAAGGGCACAGCATTTAATCTGGTTTCAAAGTTCAAGCAGTACCAATCTGAATCGTCTTCCCCTCCTTCACCTCGACAGAAGAAGGAACTTACACCTGACCGGTCCGGAAAGGTGGAATATGTGAGCGAGCCTAGAGGACAGATTGAAGTTTATGAAGGTAAATCAGAAGCAGGTATTTTTGAAAGTAGTCCAGTTTACCAACCAGAAGTAGTAAAATCTGGAGACTTCCAACCTGAACCTCTGCCAGAAGAAGGATATGCCAAAAATGTTGCTGCTAAGTTTAAAGAATTGGAAAAGTCAGGTGGCTCTTCCCCTACTGGTACTCCCATCCGACACAAGGAGTTCACTCCCCCTAGAGAAGACAGTGACCGTACTGTGGCTGGAGTCCTGGAGAGCACGCCAGAGTCCCTGGACATAGCCAGAGAAACTGATTCACGATTTCAAGAAGCTGAGCTACCAGAGAGAGGTATGGCCAAGAATATGCTTAACAAATTTAAGGAAATTCAGGCAAATTCACCAACCAGTCCCCGCACCAAGAGAGAATTCACTCCACCTCCAGCGCAAGGATCGGGCGTATTCGAGAATAAACCTACCCCCTCTCTTGAAATTGAGGTCAGACAGGCAGAAAGTGGAATTCTAGAGAGTTCGCCAGTAGCGAGGGAAGATGTTGCCAGAGAACATACGTCTGCAGAAGAAGCTGTTCCTGAACAAGGACATGCCAAGAACATGGTAAATCGATGGAAGCAGATGGAATCGGAGAGTGCCAAGTCCTCACCATCTCCGAGATACAAAGAATTCACACCCCCGCGTGATAACCTGATGAGCCCAAAGTCCCCTGCAGGTATGAACAGCAGCGTGAACCCTAACGACCTTCCCGGACAGTATCAGGAGCAAGTCTCTGCAGGTATCTATGAGAACACACCCGAACAGAAGGAGGGAATCTTCAGGGAGACCGACACAGACTTTGAGGAGGGTCTTCCCGCCAAGGACACGACAAGAGCATTACTACAGAGGTTCAAGTCCATACAGAGCGAGGCCAAGGAGGCACAGGAAACACCCAAACCTATCTCCAGAAAAGTAGGTCAAAGCTCCTTCATTCACTAGATCGTGTCTTTACACGCTTATCATCAGGCTTTTGTTTTCATTCGTTTTTCACAATGTGGTTATCAGAATCGAAATTTAGGATCTTAACTTGTTTATATTTGATACCGATTTAAATGTGATGAAATTGATACAATGAAATCGGAAACCCCATTTACAAAGACATTTTGGGTAGCCCTATCACAGTTAGTATCAGGATTAACCTTTCCACCATGTTGCTATTGCTGATGTAACCATTGTGAAGACTGAATATTCTAAAGTGGATTTGTTAGGTAAAGTGGATCTGTTAGGATGCACATATCTGCTCTAAGATTGTTTCAGACATTTACAAATGAAGCAAAAAGTTTGCTATTTTGGTGACTGGTAGATGTTTGCATCATAATGGAGGCATGTTTATTTGATAATTGTGTTGTTTGTGATGAATTGGTGTTTCATGCTAGAAAATAATTCATTATTCGTACTGTGTGTACGCTGTGCCTGTACTGAAGTTGTATTCAGAGACCCAATAGGAGACTTATACATTAACACAGGTATGTATTTAGTCAGGTTCTTGGATATTGAAAATGAAGCCAAAGTTATAATGTCATTGAAATATTTAGAGAAAATTATCAATGACAGTTTAAGATTGTTTTAAAAGTTGTTTTATTTTTTTTCCGTTATTATCATCATTATTATTTGCTAGCACTATATTTGTTTGGATCTATGAAAACATGCTATATGAAAAAAAAATAAGTTAACAATATGTTAAGTTGATGTGGCTGTTAAAAGCTGAACACATATTTTATTTGTTCAAACTGTTGTTTGAAAGCCTCAATAAATTATGTTTTCAATTTATTTAATACTGCCCCTTTTGTATTTCTAGTACTCAGCAAAGTCTTTTTAAATCTTTGCACATTTATTATTTTTTATGATATTAAAAAACAAACAGATGAAAACCTTTTGTAACTGGTAATTTTTGTTACCAAATTGTAATTTTCAAAATTTTTAGTCTACAAGCAAGTACCATTTTCATTACCTTTTTTAGACATCAAAATTTAAATACAAAGGCATGCTTTGATTACACAGAGCTTTCTGTTTTGTTTGTAGTCTTTCTACAGCGTTCCATTTCAGAGATTTTATTTCAGGTGTCAGTGTTATCCTGGTCTACATACTCATCACTGCTTCACTTTTACAGCAGTTTAAATATATCGGTGAAAGTTCTACTTCCACACCGGCTTTCATTTCCATGTTTAATTCTAGGACTCCAAAGAGAACGGAACCACACCTGTCCCTGAACCCAAGAAGGTTTGTGTTACTGTAGAGACAATCTCAGTATACTTCTGTTGTCTGTCCACACCAGGTTGTTCTTGTTTATCCTTTATTTTCGGTTTGTGTCCTACTTCTTTTTATCCTGTTAGCACAAGGATTATCTCCCTTGGATTACTTTTGTTATAAGGCAGCAGCAGTACCATAAGATTCTTAGATTGCAAGTCATTAAATGAGAAAATTGTAAAGGGAATATTTGTTATTACATACATATTTATTTTTTATTTTTTTTAAACTTTATTTGGTCTGTTGGGATGTGCTGCCTGCCATTGTTGTAGTGTAACTGTTGTACTTATCAGTTGAAATTTGCTCAAGTGTTGATAATTATTGCTGTGTAGTTATGTATTCTTCTTATTTAAACCAAATATATAGCACAAAAATTGTGATAAAAAAGTCCAAAACCAACCAAAAAATAGTTCTGTGATAGGGATACAATACTGACTTCTTTTTGAGATATAATAGTGTCATGTATAAAATTAAACTACCTCGTTGATTGAGGTTATTACTTGATTTTATGAATTGGAAAATTTGTTTTGATCAAAACATTTTACAGTAAAAGACTTGGGCAAATCTGTAGTTAGTCTTAATTCTAATTTGTTGTTTATAACTTGTTGTCTGTCCTAGTTTACTAACTGTTTGCATATTAATCTAGATTACTGACCAATATCTAACAGGGTGTCCAATCTAGATTACTGACCAATATCTAGACTACTGACCAATATCTAGATTACTGACCAATATCTAACAGGGTGTCCAATCTAGATTTCTGACCAATATCTAGATTACTGACCAATGTCTAACAGGGTGTCTGATCTAGACTACTGACCAATATCTAACAGGGTGTCTGATCTTATCGTTGGGTTTGGGAGGATGTTGATGGAACAGAATTAACTCTGAAATAAAAGAAAGAAGCTCAAACAAAAAAAACCCAATGGTAATTAATGATTGAATTTCTATCATTTCTAGAGATCAGATGAATATGTCCAATAATGGCAATTCACAGCTTCATATTAGTGTTCTTTTATTAAACTGGGTGAGGTCAATAATTTATGTTATTTAGAGAGGTCAACTGTTATTAAACTTGTGGAGATCAATAATTTCAAGTAAAACACCACTATTATATGTCTTGTCAAATTTAGTACTGTAGTCAGCACCAAAACACAAATAAGTGCTAGGTCCTTGTCAAAATGAACAGAGAATTGAAAGGCTTTCATTTTGTTCCTCTTTGCTATATAGTCTATACTGCTGTCCTAATTCCTAGAGCAGCCTGGAGGTAAAGCTGGGATTAACAAAGGTCAAGGGCTTGTTGTTTGTCAGCTGAATCCTGAGGTGCTGAGACGATCTACGTACAGAACAAAACATTCAGATTGGGATTTATACTAGTACTAATCACATGTTTTATATCTACTGTTGGTGTTCAATTATTCATACATGTTTGTATCTTTTATTGTACTTTTTATATGTTTTACTTATTTAATCAGATGACTTAACACGCATGCATTTTTATTGTGGAGCATGTTCAAAGATATGTGGAACAGGAATTATATGTGGACAGGTCGATTTCTTTTCAGGAGAAATGAAATGATATTTGAGGAAAAAAATTCTTCCAATTCACTTTCTCATAAAGTGTGTATTAAAGGGAAGTAATTAAATTATATATACAAGAGTTGTCTCCCTTTAATTATGATGCATTTTTTTTGCAGGCAGATTTTTCTCTCTAAACCTTATTGAACAAACTCAAGAGCAGCATTTGTTTGCATGATTGATACTGTATGTGTCTTATTAAATACATGACACTGTTAATGGATATTTAATATAAAATATGCATGGAATATTTTGAAACCTTTTAGAAAGTCACATTTAAATTTCTTGTACAAGGTTAACATGTAGAGATTAGCTGTAAAACAAAATGGGGTCAAGGTTAGTATGGGGATCTGTACTGTTAGAGGTCACCAGTGGATTACAAAACTGATAAATCTGAATTGAGCTGTCATTGTATCAATCTGCTGTTATAGACTGTATGCTACCTATCGGTGGGCTATTTGGATGGTCTCTTTAGGTATGGAGGGTTAATGGTATTACTAGTGTGATCTCTCTCTGCAGACACGCCTCTTCTTATATATGTAGACAGGTAATCTTTTTTTCCTTCCCTGCCTCTGCTTTACCACTCTTCCAATTCCCCCGAAAACATCTCTACAATCAATCTAATAAAAACTGGAAGTTAAAACTAATTAACAAATAAATTTGCTGGAAATTGATGCCCTAAAGGTACTTCTACATTTGTAGTTATCACACACACAGGTAAATAATGTGGGCCTGGGGCGAGAGATGTCTCCGTCATCAAACGCTCATGATTAAGGGTGATCACAGTGGTAAAGGATCACTGCTAAATTGTTTCTTTGCTTTCAAGTTTAAAGCTTGAAACAAACTAATTAACTACACCTCATCTATTCTGTTACAGAAAGATCAGACTGGGTTCAATATCACACACTGACCTTGGTTAATCTGGGTTAGGTGTCATTCAGTCAGGACAATAAAACTGCTGCTGACACCTTGTTACGATGTATAGGGGAAAGGTGTCATTTGTTTGAATTAGTTTAGCTCAGATATAAGTTTTGATTAAATTAATATTGGACAGGTGACACAAGTATATGTATGAACCATATAATAAAACCTGTTGACATTGGATATCAGGGGGCACCAAGCTTTTAAATTACACAGATTCAGTCTACCAGGACTTAGGTTCAGTCTACCAGGACTTAGGTTCAGTCTATAGCTACCAGGACTTAGGTTCAGTCTACCATGAATTAGGTTCAGTCTACCAGGACTTAGGTTCAGTCTACCATGACTTAGGTTCAGTCTACCAGGAATTAGGTTCAGTCTACCAGGACTTAGGTTCAGTCTACCAGGACTTAGGTTCAGTCTATAGCTACCAGGACTTAGGTTCAGTCTACCAGGACTTAGGTTCAGTCTACCAGGACTTAGGTTCAGTCTATAGCTACCAGGACTTAGGTTCAGTCTACCATGAATTAGGTTCAGTCTATAGCTACCAGGACTTAGGTTCAGTCTACCATGAATTAGGTTCAGTCTACCAGGAATTAGGTTCAGTCTACCATGACTTAGGTTCAGTCTACCAGGAATTAGGTTCAGTCTACCAGGAATTAGGTTCAGTCTACCAGGACTTAGGTTCAGTCTATAGCTACCAGGACTTAGGTTCAGTCTACCAGGACTTAGGTTCAGTCTACCAGGACTTAGTTTCAGTCTACCAGGACTTAGTTTCAGTCTACCAGGAAATTGTTAATCATGAGAAAAGTAATCCTAGTGTTCAGTTTGATAGTACAGCAGACAATTGTTTTTGCTGAGTTGGAGGTCACTGTTACTATTTTTACTAATCTTAAAATATGATAAAAAAAAAAAAGTAATTTTACTTTCCAATTGCTATCCATGAAACTTGACTCAAGGTTAGGTAAAGCAATGCCATGAACAACTTCCTAATTCAAGGTGACTTACTCCAGGTCAAGGTCACTTCTGCTGTATTTTTGGGAAATGTCTGTGCCCCCTAGGTCAATGTATATACATGAATGTTCAGGAAGGGTTCAAAGGTTAAATTATGGAAATGCTTGTCTGGGACTGTAACTTAGGAATGTTTGTACATTAATTGTCTGATGAAAATTCACAGGTGTTTCCAGCCACAAGCACAAAGTTACATGAAAATAAAAGCTACACAATATATTGCATATCATATTATCACTCAAGTCAGAATCTTAGTCGGGTAAGTTTGTGTTGACAGGATAAATCCCACTCAGTTAACATTCAGATATTTATTATAATTTTTCAGTTGAATTTATGCCAACAGGTGGAAATTAGAAGTTTGTGTCTCAGTGTAAATTATAAGTACATATTATGGGATGTGAATTATGTTGAGGAAGGTTTCCATATTGACCTGGTATCTAGAGTGAAACAGCAGAGGATTAACTCATAAATGGTTGCCATTTTTTTCTATTTCTAATATTTCTGGGACTGACTGCCAGAGTATGCGTTTATATATAAATGTAAATATAGCACAGCACAAGGCTCCTTCAAGTATTGACAGCTTGACAAACATCACTAAATAAGCCCATCACATACACTGCTGAAGATATAAAGCTGACAGATCGTTTGATCCCTGCTAGATGCTTACATACACATCCTATAGGTACAACCAGCCACATGTGATGACTAATGGAAGATTAGGCCTATAAACTTTATATTAAGGTTGCTTGTTTCAACAATTTCAATTATCTGAGAAAAAAACTTTTGATCAAAGGCTTCTATTGACAAGTACAAATTCGCTTAGTGAATCATAAAATATTTGGTTTCAAGAATTTATTCAATGATGATATTTCAGGAAGAAGATGTCAGAATATTCTGCTTTAAACTTCTGGGTGATTTAAATCAGTGAGGTAGGGTTCATTAGTCTGGACACAGCCTGTTATAGGATTAATATGTATTTCAGTAAGCTTCTTCTCGATGACTATCATGAAGCCAGTTAGAAAAGGTTTTGAAAAAGACCATTTAGGTGTTTTATAGAACCTTAGATATCCTTGTAGTTATAGTTAAAACTTCACAGATGATACTGGAAACTTGGAATTTCTTGAGAAAATTAAGTGTAGTTTGAGCAAATTTTCATTTTGGAAATGTAGAAGTATTTAGAAGCGGGGCGATGCTTTAAACAGACACAGACTGTTAGGTGGGTGTGTGGTTTCCCATTAGCAGTTTTGTTGGGGGTAATTGAGATAGGGTTAATAGGCAGTGGTCTGGTCCATCCTACACAGGGCTGACTAGTTATCTTTCTACTTCTGGTGAAGTTTTCGTTATCTTGGTTTTATTTCCTTAGAAAGAGAAAAAATGGTGAAATTTGTTAAATAGTTAAGTTTGATATACTTTGAAGTTTGAAGAAACCTTTTTAAGTTTTGCAAATTAGTCAGAAAATTAACAGT